ACTCATGTACATAAAGATAGCAACAATGGACACTGGGACTACTTAGACAGGGCAGCTTGGGGGGAAGGGTTGAAAAAATAACTATTGGATACTATGCTTAGCATTTGGATAATGAGATCAATTGTACCCCAAACCTTAGCATCATGCAATATACCCAGGTAATGAACCTGCACATATACTCCCCTGAATCTAAAATGAAAGTTGATATTATTAAAGAAAAAGAAAGCTGTCAATTATACAAGCCCTGTGTACCTATGCAACTTTTTCAGTCATTCTATTCTTTGAAGCAACACAAAAATTGTGCTTTTCCAGAAATATGATGTAGTATTTTGTATAATTATATCTTTGCACATGTTCCCTTTGTCTGAAAGAATATATATTTTGCCCCTTGGAAAACTCTTATTCATCCTTCAAGATCCAATTCAAATATCACAACTTTAGACCAGTCTTTCATCCCTAAATTGAATTTAATAGCATCATTTTCCTTATACTCTACCTTTATTATAGTAAGGGTCCCACTGAATGACATTCAGTTATTTATATGATTATTCTGCTACTAGGTTTGAATTCTTCTGGAAGAGGAATCATGTCTTGAATATCATTATATACCTATCACTTTGCAATGTGTTGATGCATAATAAATTCTCAGTAAATGTTTTAGAATTATATGAAATGAATATCTCCCAAATCTCATTGCCAACAAAGAGTTAGTGAGAGCTTTTTCAGATGCAAAGAAACTACTCATTCCTTCTGTGATGTTTTATATCTTTGATCCTTTACACGTTTCCTCGGCTTGTGACCATGCCACTTGTCCCCTAAAAAAGTCCTATGTACTCTTCTTAGCTCAAATATCCTTGCCTCCTTGAAGCCTTTCTTTACTTTCTTAGGAAAAATTAATCATTCTTTCGTTGGATTTCTTACTGTTCAATCTGTATACTTATTTCATTCTTTTTTTGTAGTTAGCTCAATATTTTTCTAAATAATCCTTTAAAAATCGTGAAGTATATATTAGTTCAACCATTGTGGAAGACAGTGTGGTGATTTCTCAATGATTTAGAACCAGAAATATCATTGGACCCAGCAATCCCATTACTGGGTATATACCTAAAGGATTCTGTATCATTCTACTATACTGACACATGCACATGCATATTTATTGCAGCACTGTTCCACAATAGCAAAGACTTGGAACCAACCCAATGCCCATCAATGATAGACTGGATAAAGAAAATGTGGCACATGTACACCATGGAATACTATGCAGCCATAAAAAAGGATGAGTTGATGTCCTTTGCAGAGACATGGATGAAGCTGGAAACCATCATTCTCAGAAAACTAACACAGGAACAGAAAACCAAACGCTGCATGTTTTCAGTCATAAGTGGGAGTTGAACAATGAGAACACATGGACACAGGGAGGGGAACATCACACACTGGGGCCTGTTGTGGGGGTGGAGGGCTAGAGGAGGGATGGAATTAGGAGAAATACCTAATGTAGATGATGGGTTGATGGATGCAGCAAACCGCCATGGCACATATATACTTGTGTAACAAATCTGCATGCTCTGCACATGTATCTCAGAACTTAAAGTATAATAATAAAAAAATAAATAAAATAAAATGGAAATCATTATTAAGCAAATAAATGCCCATTTTCTTCATTCTACGGTAGCTTCTTTTGTAGGTTCATAGCATGGATTTCTAATTCTTGCATAGAACTTGTCTTAGACTGTAATAGTTATTTGCTTATGTACCTATAAGATTTTAAGTTTCTTGAGGGAAGGTTTGTGCTTCATTCATCTTACTTTTCTTATTGCCTGCCAGGACACCTGGCACATAGGTGCTAAGCAATTATATGTTAAATTGAATTGAAATGAACAAAACTACAAGCTTTTTGAGAATAGTGATTTTATCTAACTCCATGATTTTACCAAAGTAGCCACAGGAAGAGGATAAAAATAATGAAATACATTTGGGTTGTGCCTGTTGGACACTGGAAGCATTTCTGAAATAAAACAAGAGCCTGTATTATTGCTGACTTGTCACCAAAATGTCCCTAATGTTTTAATAAAAAAAATAAAGTTCCCTGTATTATGGCTCCTGTGCTGGAGCTACATATAATCTGCAGTGGGAACTTACAGACAGACCTTGTTTATGCGTTTCTAGTAAAGTGAGTTAATGGCTATGAAAAAACAATGTTGAGTTCAAATATTCCAAACTTCTGCTCCAGATCGAATACCCAAGAGATTATCTTAGGGTGTAAAATGAGTCTTCTATTAAAATGTTCATTTGTCTCTTAAGATGGCTCAATTAAAACTTACCTATGTTTATTTTTACTGCAGGTAGCCCATCTACCTGCAGTTAGTTGGTTCCTTTTGTTTTTGAGACAGTCTTGCTCTGTTGCCCAGGCTGGAGTGCAGTGGTACGATCTCGGCTCACTGCAACCTCCACCTCCTGGGTTAAGGCGATTCTCCTGCCTTAGCCTCCCAAGTAGCTGGAACTACAGGCACACACCATCATGCCCAGATAATTTTTGAATTTTTGTAGAGTCAGGGTTTCACCATGTTGGACAGGCTGGTCTCAAACTCCTGACCTCAGGTAATCCACATGCTTCAGTCCTCCAAAGTGGTGGGATTACAGGCAGTACTTGGTTCTTGTGGCAATTATGTGTTACAATTACACCTTGACCTTAAATTATGTTGGTTCTTGATGGTGGATTAGTCAAGAACAACCACCACATTGGTTGAGTACAAGAACCAATATAGTAGTGGTTCTTGACTAACCCACCATCAAGAACCAACATAATTTAAGGTGTAATTGTAACATATTATTGCCACAGCAGCAGCAAAACATAATATTTAAGAAGATGGGCCCTGGAATACAGGTTCTATGTTCAAATCTCAGGGATGTTGCTTTCTAACAGAATATGTATTCCAAGCCTTTTAACTTCTTTTCCTCATCTGCAAAAATGGGCTTACCTTATTGGATTGTGCATAAAATACACATGAGTTAATGTTTGAAAAGTTCTTAGAACAGTGCCTTGTACATAGTAAGTGCTATGTAAGTGCTTATGAAAACAGTTCCTTCCCTTAAGTCTTTCGGGGCATAGTTTTCTGTCTGAAATGTTCTTATTCAAGCTCTTTTTCTACTTAAGTGTTTATTTCTAGTTGCATTTTCATTTCAACCTTGCAGACTTTGGTGATCAATCCTGCCTCAGTCACATTTCCTAAATTTGAATTATACCCCAAACACATGGTAAATTCCTTGACACTCTTTTCTCCATTACTGTCTTTTGGTGTCAAACAGTGACTCAAGGGACAGGGTGCTTAGCCATGCATCAAGCCAATCCCACAGACTTTTCAAATTAAAAATCTTGTGTGCAGAGATGTTCTTTAGGCAGATGGTTTAAGCACAAGGAATAACTTAACAAACTCCACAAGAGAGGCTCAAATCAGCTACTGTGTATGCAGATGTGTGCTTAATCCTCCCAGGTAGTAGGAGCTCTCTAAAACCACAGGTAATCTTCATTACTTTGGACAAAAAAATTTCAAAAAGTTTTAAAATCTAAATCTTTAAAAGTTTCACTAGTAAAATTAAAAATGTTTAAAGATTAAAAAACTGTTAAAATATTTGTTCAGTACTCCTATGTGGACTTTTTCTAAGGCAGTGAAGAGCTAAAGTAATCCTGGCTCTCAGAGGATTGTGGGAACGTCCCAATGACATAAGTGGAAAGCAGAGATATTGCTTGAATGTAGGAGAGAGATTTGATTAGATTGAGAGGGTGTGTTATCTACTCGGACTGTCTGAGCCGACCTCCACAGAGTGGATAAAATTCCTTTTAGTTTTATTTTTACAGTTTATATTCCTTCAATTTGCACTGTCCAATAGGGTAGACCAGTCCCATGTGGTTTTTGAGCACTTGAAATGTGGTCATTCTGAGCTGAGATGTGTTGTAAGCGTAAAAGACACATTGGATTTCAAAGACTTAGAATGAAAAAAAGAAGATAGAATATCTCATTAATGTTTTTATATTGATTACACGTTAAAATAATTCAGATGCATTAAGTTAAATAAAATATATTTTAGAAATTAATATTACTTGTTTCTTTTTATCTTTTCTAAGGTGGCTACTAAAACATTGAAAATTATACATGCGGCCCACATTACATTTCTCTTGGACATCTTTCCCTTAAAGTATTGTTTTGAAAGGCTGTAAACACTTACTGAGTACATATAATGGGCTAGGCCTTGTGCAAGTTGTTTGTGATTAAAAGATAAATAAAATGAATCTCATAGTTCGAGACAGATACAGATACATAAGCACCTATCTACATTGCAAGGTAATGAATGTGCACTTAGGTGTCAGTATTGTGTGGACAAAAGGTATGAGGCTGGGTCATATGGGGTTGAATTTGAATTCTAATTCGTCTACCTGCTGGGGGTATAAAGGGGACATTCATTTGCCTCTCTGATTTTCTGTCTTTTTATCTGTATAATGGTAATAATTATATTAGATTCATTTATTTGTGGTAGGTATTTGCCAAGCTCTTAACAGGTGTTCAATAAACGAGTTAGTGACATTTGCTTATATAATCAAAGTGCTTTGGTGCTACGGGAGAAGAGAAAATGAAGTGCCTAATGACTAATGTTGAGAAAGTGGAAGAGGTGAGGTCTACGGAAAAATGTCATTTAACTGGAGTGTTAAATAATGATGAGGAATTAGAGAACACATGTCAAAATCAGTGGCAATAATAACAAGGTAACTTACATGCTCACGTATTTCTCACTGTTCTAAGTATTGTACCTGTGATTGCCCATTTGAGCCTTTCGGAAGTGCTATGTGGTAGGCACACTTTAATTATGTTCCTATTTTGCAGGTGCGAAGAATGGGCACAAAGAAGTAACTTCTCCAAGGCCACTCAGCTAAGAAGAAGCACAATGGAGGTTGGATCTAAGCACTTAATCTCCAGAGCCCATGATTCTAAGCACTCTACTCATACCTGAAGAGGGACCATCCAAAGCAGGACAGTGAGAACCTGGTAGACTGTCCATCACGGTTGGAATACATGAAGAGGGTACCATGATGGCATATATAAGAGAAGGTGCTGGATGAGTGATTGCCTAGACGTTGAGACTGAAGAGGGTAGTGAGGGTTTACTAGTGAGGGACTTTGGTTGCCATGGTAAAGAAAGAATATGGACTTTATTCTATAAACTGTGAAGAGCCATAGAGGATTTCCAAGTCGGGTAGTGGTATGAACAGGGTTTTATTTTAGAAAAAGAATAATAGTAGCAGGATGGAGATTAGACAGGAGCAGATAGAGGACAGGAGCAAGGAGACTGCTCAGAAGAATACCAGAGTATTGAACTAGTCCAATACTCTGGACTAGGTGAGGCATGTTGATGGCCTGAGCTAAGGCAGCAGCAACAGGCATGGATCGAGGAGGCAGAGTCCATAGGACTTGCTTGTAGGAATCACATTTTACAGATGAGGATAACATGTTAGTACCTGCTTTTCCTCCATTGTCTGTGCTTCTTTTTTTTTTTTTTTTTGGCATATGTTCCCTAGTTAGTCCAGATTGAGTTTTTCTCTTTTTTCCTGTTTTTCTCTCTCAAATTGTCTTTGCACTGTTATTTATATTCTGGACATTACAGCACATGATAATTATTATGCTTCATGTTACAGCCCCATGAAAAATAAAGTGTGATTACTCTTCATCTGTAGGAACATTTTTTTTTCTTAATGCTTAATGGTATATTTTTACTGGTCACCAATAATCACCTAATTGCTATGTGGCTATTGAAGTCAGATACAATGCTTCATTAAAAATTACCCTAATTATGAGGCAAGGTTATTAGATTCTTTGTTTGCCTAGTTTTAGGCCTGTAGAATTTTCAAAAAGCAAAAGGTTGAATAGACATTGAAATCTTAATACTCTCCCATTCATCACCCCTCTCATTTGGCTGTTGGGGCAACCTTTGTACACAAATGGGTTGACTCCAGTTGCACTCCCTGCTTTGATGAGACCAGGCAGCATGAGCCCTGAGCATGCTGGGGAAACTATTGTTGTCTAAATGAGGAGTGCCTGATAGGATATAATACTCCCGTGTTTTTGTTTCTAGTTAGATTTTCTAACCATGAATATATTGTTCCTCCTGCATTAGCTACTTCTGTGTTCTTGTTCAAATGTATACCTTATAGATATCTTATTTTTTTTAAAAAAATGTTTATTTAATTAGATTGTTGATAATGTTTCTGGCTTTCAAAATGATAGGAGCAGTTGGACCTTCCATTTATTTAGTGAAAATTTAAATGTAATTGCATTAGTGGAAAATATGACCGTCCAGAAGAAGGAATTTGAAAATAGGCAAATAATTACAACGTACTTTCTTTTTCTCTTTCTTTCTTTCCTTCTTTCTTTCTCTTTCTTTCTTTCTTTCTTTCTTTCTTTCTTTCTTTCTTTCTTTCTTTCTTTCTTTCTTTCTCTTTCTTTCTTTCTTTCTTTCTTTCTTTCTTTCTTTCTTTCTTTCTTTCTCTCTCTCTCTTTCTTTCTTTCTTTCTTTCTTT